AACAACAACAACAACAATACCTATCAATATTGATGCTGACAATTTTCTTACCAGACATTGTAATAGGTGCTCAATTATTTTGAGCCTTAACTATAAAGAGTGCTGAGTAAAATTGCCCTGGGTGTATCAAGTAGAACTGTGCTGTATAAAGTTTTCAATGACTGAATTTTCAGAAGTAAATCAAAAGCCTTACTTTCAAAGTTCTTGTAACACACTAATCATTTCCATCACCCAAGGACTTCAATCCTTACTATAACTTTAGAGAGGCATTCCTAAGAATCCACAGAGATAGGTTCAAGAGCCCACAGGGGCACTACAATTCACACATACTCAAGTTCCTAATAAAAATTTGCTTAAATTTTACATATACTTTGTTCACATCCTCCCTAGGCTTTAAATCATCTCTAGACAATTAGCATACTTAATGCAATGCAAATGTGATGTAAACAGCATTTGCACTCCGTCTTCATCATTGAGGAAACTCTGATGGTGTTGTTCATAGAGGTGTGCTGCTAATTCAAAGGTGGCACCTCATAACTGGTTTTAATTCACCAGTGGCCCTGAGGAGAAATATGAGAAATGTCCTCCTGTGCAATTTAAAGTTTTAGAAAATGTGATGGAGGGTCAGCAAGCAATGAGTTGTTTTGGATAAGACAACAATGAGTGTGTTCTTTTTGTGGCTTTTAAAATTGTTCTTAGCCTTTGAGTGATTGCTTTTTTGAAGCTACTTAATTGATTTTTAGAACCATTTCCCTCCCCTTACTAAATATTTTAATCCACAGTTGGTTGAATCTTTGGATGTGGACCTCAAAGTTACAGAAGACCAACTTGTATTTATTAACTTCATTTGTTGGCAAAGGCATGAGAGTGAATAGTTGTTGTTATGTGCTGTTAAGTTGCAACTCATAGCAACCCTATGAAGAATAGATCTGAACCCTGTCTTATACTGCACCATCCCTATCATCTCTGGCAATTGGGTCTATTGGGGCAGCCACTGTATTACTCCATCTTGTTGAGGGTCTTCTTCTTCTTCTTCTTGGACCCTCTACCTTTCCAAAGTTGATATTCCTTTCCAAGGAATAGCCTCTTCTAACAACATATATGAGAATCCACAGTGCATGAGTAACTCAAAAGCCTTCCTTAGAAATACACTGGCTACACTTTTTCCAACACATAGTTGTTTTTTCTTTTGGCAGGCCCTGGGGTATCCTGTACTCTTGGGTCTACTCAAGTCATAAGCTGGGAGGTAGGATCCTAGAGCCTAGCATTTATTCCAGTGAAACATGCTGCCTTTCCTGAACAAGTTAGTAAAAAGCTCAGAAAGAGTCATTTACTCTCTTACATAGCATTTCAAAGTATGAATTAAATTATAGTCACTCAATCTATTACAGAGGATAGCTAATTTAAAATTATTATGTTGTATAAAGGAATTTGCCCACCTTACACTGGCTAGTTTGTACCCTGTGTTATTTTTCCTTTTTTAGGAAGTCAATTAAGTTTCCCTGATGTAATGCAGGAAAGCATAAAATTGGATTTTTAACTTGAGAGTAAATATCGAAGTTCTGATTCAGAGTCGTGAATCATTCCCAGGATTCACATTAGTGACCTCTGAGAATTTCCAAACAGTATTATTTTCTCATCTCTGTCTTCTTACCACCTCTGGTCATACCTCCTTTAAATAAAAGGAATCGATGTTTACTCAGCAGCTGGGTCCCTAGACTACAGTGAGAGTTAACACTTTACCACAAAAAGAGAAACTTTCCTTTTCCTAATGGTAGAATCAAGTTAGTTAAGTGTTCACAGAAACTTTTAAATAATATGAAGAAACAGTTCATCAGAACTCTTCAGTAGAACTAGATTAGAAAATAGATAACATATAAGCAGTGTTCTGGAGTTCAAAAACTCAAATTACTGTAGCTGAATTGGAACAAACTTAGAGCTGACACACCATTGAATTTCCAAGGCTGTCAATCACATGGAAGAGATTCCCATCTTTCTTCAGGGAAAACACTGGTAAGATTGTAACTTCTAGGGAGGTGCCATCTTTGGTTGGAAGCATGATTTCCCATTGACTAGCTCTGGTGGCCTAGTCATAAGAAACTACACTGAAATCCCAAAGGCATGTGTTTCAAATCTGCCAGCCACTTTGCAAGAAGCAGGCTGATGGCAGTCTTTTCCTGTGAGATTAGCTACCTCTGAAAACCCACTGGAGGCTCAGTTATGCATTAGTTCTAACTCAATGGTACACAACAACAGGCCACCAGAGATCCTGCAAATAGTCTATATATTGGGGGGGGGACCCAACTTCTTTTACTAATATGAGGATGTCATATTTTAATATAATAGTAACAAAATTCTATGCCCTTCAAAATGATCAATAAAATCAAGAGAAAAAAACCCAACAAAAATCAACAAACTCAAACCAAAATACAAATCCTAAGGCACAGAACTGTTAAATAACCCAAAGTCACACAACCACAAAGTGGTAATATAAGTGTTATTACACCTAATTTTTTTCATTAAATTGTTCAGTTGAATTTTGACAATTGCAAATATAGAGATATTTATATGACTTAGGAAGTTTGACAAATAGCACATGACATGGAGCAGGCACTAAATAATATTCTTAAAAGAGAATTTAGTTAGCACTCTGTTTACATTTTTTCCATTGTTTTTCAGTCAATTATACCAAAGAAATGATGCAATTTAAAGTTACAAAGCAGTGAAGCAGGTAGTCCTCCAAAAATAGTACTTTGCACCATATGTTTTAAGATAATCTTTCAAAAGACCTAAAACATGGTAATTTCAACCTAAGAAAAAATTGAATTAATAATTAGTCCCTAATGCATTATATTGACTCTACTTCTGTGTGGGTTCATCTTTTTTCCTCATCCTCTCGGCCTGCCATCCTTTTAAATCCCACTTCATCATGCTCATACAGATTTCCCTTTATCTATCATAATGGTTACTCATCATGGGCAGTGTTTGGTGAAGCTCCCAGATTGAGTGAGGTTTGGAAGCAAGAGTGTCATCCACTTCCTAAACCACATGCCTTTGGAAAGTCTATGAACATAGAGAAATGATGATAGTTCTAGAACAAGGTTCAGGTCTTTTTTTCACAGAGTCACTATGGGTCACGCTGTACTGGACCACAATTAACAGCAATAGATGAAAGGGAGACTGAGAGAAGCAGTTCTACTCTGAAAGGTGGGCTCTCTTGTTTTGGTTAAGGGTGTTTGGTTGTTTTTTATTTAAGCCTCTTGTTTAGTGTCAACACCACCTCCTGCAGGGCCTTTGTATTTAAAAGTTGGTTAGGCCCTCAGGCCTAGTGTAATTATAATTTAGAGAAACATTCTTTTCAATGGTGCAACACTGGTCTGTCAAATTTCTGTACTGAGGTAATCTGGTGTGGCTATAATGCTGAACTCTGTGTCATTGGGGTGTTGAATGCCATAATGGTTACTCATTGTGGACAGTGTTTGGTGGAGCTCCCAGATTAAGACAGGTTTGGAAGCAGGAGTGGCATCCACTTTCTAAACAACATGCCTCTGAAAACTCTATGAATTTAGAAAAACAAAGATGGTTACAGAAAGCATTCAGGTCTTTTGTTCATTGGGTTGTTATGAGTTGCCCTTGATTTGAAGAAAATCAACAACCCAAATGCATTATATTATCATTGCTGCCTGGTTTGTTACAACCACTATTAAAACTAATTTTGATTCTCAGATCCAATTTTTATTAGGTGAAAAATCACTTTTCTAAAACATATATAATTCATAAATGAATAAATATTTTTAAGCCACTAAATAAATATGTTAATACAGTATGATGAAGCTAACTGTATACTTCTAAAAATGATAATTTGAAGGGAATTGTATAGATCAATATTTCTCACACAGATCACAATCAGTAAAATTTTTAATAATAATAACAATAATTTTTAATAATAATTCTTATTTTAAATTTTTTCACATTCACTCTCTAAGGAATGTTCAGGGAACTTTCAAGAGGTGAAGTGTATGAAAAATAGAGTGTGTTATTGAACAAAAGACTGAATACCAAGACATATATGCTAATGCATCTATCTTCTATTAAGGCTGATATAAATAACATTTACAAAAATGCGATAGAACACTTTTTCTCACTACTTCAATTTCTAAAACATATTTTTCCATAATGATATGTTATTAACACTAACATACAATATTTATTCCACTATTGTTTTAATAACTTACTAAATATTTTTAATTTAAAATTTTTATCTTAATACTACAACCATTAATAAAGTTAGCCTAAATAAATAAATAAATAAATACTCTTTGGGGGAAATACATTTTAGATCAAAAAGTTCTAGAACTGTTGGAATAGAAACAAGGAAATTCAGTTTGCTCAGTTTTAAACTTTCCCTTTATTATTCTAATTCCCAGTGATGATGGCTTATAAACTCCTCCTAAAATATGAGAAGTCATTTCAAATAGATTTTAAAAGCCTTTAAGTATTTTATTCATAACATGAAAAACACCAATCTCCTTAGAAATTGCTCCATTTGCAAAATATATTTATAACTTAACCAAAATAAATAATTCATACCTCACCAAGTGAGTAATAACGTCTTGGGATCTGGGAGTCCGGATAGATGTTTTCTAGGTACCAGGAAAAGGGCTTACACTTCAGATTTTCTCTTAGTGTTTTTCTGACTGACACATCTCCATAATCCACTTTGACAACACCTGCAATATTTCATAGAAACACACAAATCAGTTTGTGCTATTTTAATTTTAGCACTGTCATTCTGTTTACCATCTCTTTTCTTGCTATAATTTCAATTCCATCAAATTAAATTGCATATGCAGCTCCTACTACTGATTTTTTTTACTACCATTCAATTAATAAGTTAAAAGATATTTAAAAAAAATATACAGTGCCTTCATTGGTTATCAGTTTTCAAATACAAATACTTATCACCAAGCACTTGTATATCTTATATTGGATAATTAATCAACTAACTGAAAATTAGTATTAATTTAGCATCTCATAATCAGAGCTTAGCTGAGCTGTATGATATTATCTGTTTCTCTTTAATAAAAAATCCAATAGCTCTATTGCTTTTGCTCACGCAGATATTTTCCTGTGTCATTTATTTATCAATGATAAAATTTATTAAAAATATTTTAAATGTGGTCCTCAAAAACTACTGAATTTCCAAAGACTTGAATTTTTCTTTATTGGTTTAAATTTATCTTAAGAATTATTTTTAGTCACTTCAGTTCCTTTGGAAGGGCTAGGCATTTATAAAGAAGCATAAGTAAACTAACATACAAAGAAATCAACATGGATATATTAATGTATTTATTAAAATAGCATAATGAACAATGGTGGTCAACACAGATTCTCTACAACCCCTTATATTTACCAGATATCTATAATTAGTCAGGGACATGTGCTTTGATCTTGGCCAGTGGTCTCAGGTGAAAAGAACTATCTGCTGCTTCAGGTCTAAAACCTAGACTAGTAGTGAGGAAAACTTTTAGTGATCTTTTCTCCCACTGCAGGGACTGAGAGGATCTTATCTTCCAGACGTGACAGCTGTAGGAGAGCTATAGGAAAATCTAAACTTCCATTGGGTGAATATGTGGTAGAGCACCTTATAGTCTCCCATTCACCCCCATCTTCATCGCTTCATTTATGCCAAACATGTAGAAATACACTTTTGTTGTCTTCAGTTGACAAGATCTTGTAATTTCTGGTTCATTAAGTCTATAAACAGTGGCTAACACAGAGGTTGCAGTATCTTCAGCCTTCACTAGTCAGGATCTCACTATGGCTGCTCAAGTAGAGGATGATTTGGATTTAAGAAGTTCATGATTCTTACTGTTTAAAAGCTCAGAAATGAAATAGTGGTTTTCTTTTATTGTTTATTGTCATTTCTAAATTATATTTCCCCCTCTCTTTTTGTACTTCCCTCTAAAAATTGAGCTCTTTTTAAGAACAAGGTAATTCAGGTTGTATTACTAGCAACCTCTTCAAGTACCTATTCAGAGCCATCTGCCAACATCATAAACATTGTTCTTCATTCAATGAGGTTTTGTAGCACGTGGATTACACTGTCTATCTCTACTTTTAAACTATCAATATTCATGATGGCTCGAACTCAAGGAAGATGAGTTGTCCAGTAATCTGTCTTTGCAATTATATTTTCAATCATCTTTTCTTTTATAACATCTCAGCTACTCATTCAGAACCTAATTCATCAGTAACTAATAACTCTACCACTTTTTAAAAATCTGGATTTTAAGATTTCTCATTTTTAACTGACACATCCTTTCATTTTACCTCATCAAGTCTTACAACTCATTGATTCCAGAACTTTATTTCACATATACCTGTAGTCTTCTCAATTATGTGCTATGCATCAGAGAGTTGGGCACTGACTAGGGATGATAGAACGAGAATTAATGCCTTTGAGCTGTGATGCTGGAGAAGAGTGTTGAATATACCATGGACTGCTAGGAGAACAAACAGGTTTGTTCTGGAGAAGGTGAAGCTGGAATGCTCTTTGGAGTCAAGGATTCTGAAGGTTCGTCTGGCATACTTTGGACATGTTGCAAGGAGGGAATGGTCTTTGGAGAGGGACATCATGTTTGGCAGAGTGGAGGGATGGCACGGGAGAGGGAGACCTTCAATAAGATGGATCAATTCTGTGAGTGGAGTGGTGGGAATGAGTGTGTTTGAGACAGCGAAGTTGGCACAGGATAGAACAGCATTTAGGGATCTTGTACATAAGGTCGCTATGAGTGGCAAGTGACTCAATGGCACATAACAACAACAAACCTCTTTTTAACATCTCTTAGTTTATCTTTTCCACTGAACTTTAAAAATAAAAAATTCTCATTCTGATTAAAATATTTTTTCTCTAAATTTTCATCCAAGTTGAAGAACATGGGTGAGAATAACAAATATGCCAGCTATAAATAAGTGCCCATGAACCTCAAGGGTTTCCTCAGCACTACAGGGCACTTATATTACCATCTCTTCAGTAAATCACTTGCTCAATCTCCTTGTAAACACTTTGAGGTCTGAAATAATCAATACATACCTTTATATACATTAATGGTATTTTAGAAGCAAATAAAAATACTAATAATAGAACTACATCACCAACATGTTAATGTGTGTTTGCATCTGCCTTGTGCCCTAATTAACAGATTAAACACTCTTTTTGCCACTCTAATGTCACTACTTTACTTGCACAAGAAATTCTATTCTTTCTTGCTATACAATGTTTGGCTAAGAAAATTAGCTCTTCCTTGTAAAATCAATTGTCCCTACGCCTTAGATTATTCTTGCCAACAAACAACAATTACCCCTATGTACCATGTAAGGAGCTCTGGTGGCACTGTGGCTAAGGCATTCAACTTCTAACCAATAGGTCAGCACTCTACAATAGAAAGATGGGATAATCTGCTCCTATAAAGATAAAAGCCTCAGGAACCTTATGGTGCAGCTCTACTCAAGGAATTAACTCAATAACAGGGAGTGAATCCACTATATAAAAATAATAAAATGAAATAAAAACAAACAATTATACAAAATGTAAAACTACCTAAAAATCAGCCTATAGATTCAAAACCCACCTGCCATTCAGATGGAGGATCAGCTATCAGTAGGTTGTAACTTGACACAGCAGCAATACTTATTCGAATATTAACCTATACATTGACTGTTTGGTGATATTTAACTCAGATATATAAAGGAAGCATGTTTTAAATAGGTAGGAAGATTAAAATTCATCAAAATCTCAGGTAATGTTTTCTAGTACAAATTTGATTAGCCTGGTAGTCCTGGATACCTATAATGACAGAATACCTTGATTATAAATGAAAGCTTAGAGTTCTACATTTAAAAACAAACACAATGACTTAAAAGTGGGGAAAAGGGGAATAATTTTCCTTAAACGAGGAAATATTAAGGTAAATCAATAATGTTCTAAGCAGTCAAAACACAGTTTGTGTTATAATAATTATATAAGAATATGAGGACATTGAGATGTATATGAAGGTTGTTTTTTCACCATATATACTCAATCTATAGGCTGAGAAAAGTAATAATTTTTTTCAAAAAGTGAACTATATTAAGAAAACCATGGTATTAAGACTGGGGGAAGAATAATTAACAACCTGTGCTATGCAGATGACACAACATTGTTTGCTGAAGGTGAAGAAGACTTTAAGGCACTTAGTAAGGAAGATAAAAGACTTCAATCTGTTCAACAAATGGCATTGGTAAAACTGGACATCCACAGGCAGAAAATTGAAACAGGATATATATTTCACACTATACACAAAAATTCACTCACTGTGGATAAAAGATCTCGTGGTAAAACCCAAAACCATAAAGACCATAAGAGATAAAATGGGGGGATAAATTTAGAAGACCTAATCTATGGAACAAGTAGACTTGCAAACATAACCAAAAATGCATAACCAGTAGGGGATAAAATTGACAAATTGGACCTTCTTAAAATCAAATTCCTATGTACATCAAAATTTTCTCAAATAAGGAGAAAACAAAGACTGCTGACACTGAAAAATACATTTGGCAATGATATTTCAGACAAGACTCTCATAACTTAAGTTTACATATTATTGGACCTCCACCAAAAAAAAAACAACCCCAAACACAAAACTCTCTAATAAACCAATCACAAAATGGGCAAAATACACGAGAAGACTCTTCACAAAGGAGGACATTCAGATAGCTAACAAATATATGAACAAATGTTCAAAATCATTAAAACATAAATCAAACTAATGAGATACCATCTCACTCCAGCAACAGTAGTTTCGGGGAGGATATAGAGAGATTGGAACATTTATGCACTGTGGATGGGACTGTAAAATGGTACAACTGCTACGGAAGGCAATACAAGAAACAAAATATGATCAAGAGGTGATGGTGATAGAGGAAGTGTAGGCTGCTCTGGAGCACCTGGCAAAAAAATAAGGCCCCAGGAATTGATGAAATACCCGTTGACATGTTTCAACAAACAAATGCTGACCTAGATGTACTCACCAGCATGTACCAACAAATCTGGAAGATAATTACCTGGTCAATTGGCTAGAAGAGATCCTATTTATTCCCATTCCAAAAAATAAAAAAAGGGTGACCCAACAGAGTGTGGAATTTATCGAACAATGTCACTAATATCACACATGAGCAAAATCCTGCTGAAGATTGTCCAAAAACGACTGAAAAAGTACATTCTCAGAGAACTACCAGAAGGATCCTGGCAGAACGCAAAGAGTATAAAAGGAATGTCTATCTGTATTTCATTGACTATGCAAAACATTTGACTGTGTGGATCACAACAAATTGAGGCTAACCCTGAGGAGAATGAGAATCCCAGAACACTTGATTGTGCTCATGTGAAACCTATTCTCAGACCAGGAAGCAGTCCTCAGAACAGAGCAAGGAAATACTGCATGATCCAAAAACAGGAAATTAGTGCATCAAGGTTGTATCCTGTCTCCATAACTCTTCAATCTATATGCAGAACCAAACATTCAGGAGGCTGAACTTTATGGGGAGAAATGTGGTTTTCAGGATTGGAGGAAGACTTATCAACGACATCTATTATGCAGATGACACAATCTTGCTTGCTGAAACTGAGGTGGACCTGAAGCACTTGCTACAGAAGGTCAATGACAGTAGTCTTCAATATGGATTTAAG